ATGTTTGTATGACTTTTTGTTGAACTTATACACGTTTTTGAAGAAAACTACTAGGTGTAAATTTTGAAAGTAGGTCCTTTCGATTCATTCTCTCCATTACAGACCAAAACAACAGGTTTTTCACATCAGATTGTCAGTGTGGTGTGTTATTTCAAAGATATCAACGTCCACAGCTACATCCAAAATAGTTATTTTTTGCCTTTTTTGTGCATTGCTACATTGTGTGTCATACGAGTTGAATCGAGACTCTGATTAACTTTACACAAATAGCATGAATTCCTTATCTCTTACCTTGATATTAATCGTTTTGTTTTATTTGTACAGACATAAAAACAAGTAAATTTTACGTTTTTTCTCAAAGTTTCATTATATTTGAACGATGTCTGAGTTGGATTCGACGCTTTACTTATTGCCGAATTCACCTTCGACCTATCGATTGTATCGACGTCGATTCTATGTTATCTCAGTCTTCGGTTTGCTTACTTTCAATCAATCTCTGTTCTGGCTTACATTTTCTCCAATTGCTAGAAATGTAAAACTCTATTATAATACTACCGAATCGACGATCGATTTGTTACTCAATTGAGGAAATATTATTTGTATACCAACCTTTCCTATGGCCTATCTTCTATTAAACAAACCACATCGACTTCGACTATCTATGATTCTGTTCGCTGTCACATGTGTTGCAGCCACTTTTCTACGCATCATTCCATCAATCATTAGTTCATCGTCAGATCACCATTTTAGTCTGATTCCAGTACCATTTTTGCATGCTGGTCAGGTACTTCTTGCAGCTTGTGCTCCATTGGTACAAGTGCCCGTGTCGCAACTGTCTTGCATTTGATTCGATTCAAATGAAAGAACACGCTCAACTACATTTGCTCTTGCAATCAACAACTTTGGTATAGCTGCTGGCTTTGTCATTAGTCCATTCATAATCGATACACCTGAGCATGTTCCTCGTCTTCTTTACGTTCACTTAGGTCTTGCCATTCTTAGCTGTATCCTAACTCTTGTCTATTTTCCATGGCATCCACCAAAACCTCCGTCACCAGCTGCTGAGCGGCTCATTTCCTATTCATTTAGTGACAGTAATGGTAATTCTCTGCGTAGTTTTATGAAGGATCTTTGGCGATGTATGAGATCATCGTCATTCATGATTCTTTCTGCCGTAGGTGGTTTATTGACAGGTACATTTAATGTGTGGACAGACCTTTACGATATCATTCTTGCCCCCGAGAAATATACAGAACAACAAGCAGGTCGAAAAATGAGGATGTAGCAGTAAAATGACTTTTCTACTTCTCTTAGGATGGTTTGGCTTTGGCTCAACTGTAGCCGGCATTATTGGTAGCTTCTGTGTAGGTGCTCTTTCTGATACACGTCGCTTTCAGCGTTCAGTTGAAATATTTATGATCGCCTCACTTATTGGCTGTATTCTTTCCATTATCTGGTTTGAACTTTGTGTTCACACAACATTTTTCGAGAAACCTATTCTTTCATCCACTCCTATCTCCATTGGACTGTCAACTGCGCTTGCTGGCTTTTTTCAAGGAGCATCAACGCCATTGATCTATGAAGCTCTTGCTGAAACTATGTTTCCACTACCTGAAGCAATCTCAGCACTAGCTATCAATCAATGGAACAATTTTTCATCTCTTGTTCTCCTTTTTGTTGCACCAAATCAAGATAAACTTATGAATTTACTTGTATTGATAGTCGTTGGTGCTTGTATTTTAATGGTTTGTGTATCACTAGTACTCTACGAAAGGCGGTATGAAAATCAAAGAAAACTGTTCGGCAAGCAACAAGAAGTATTGAATGATGATGATAATTCAAGTACATGTGTTGATACAGCCATTCACCAATCGAAACTTGAAACTTAGGCTGATGTAAGAAAACAAAATCGTTTCCAATGGTAGCTTTTAAAAAGTTATTCTTACATCAAATCAAAGCAATAGTGAGGGTGTGGGGTGTGGCTGTGGGTATGGATGGATGTGGTTGAGAGTGAGGTTTGATTGTTGCTTGGCTGTGTGTGAGTGGCTGTTGGCCTGCGTATGGGTATTGAGTGCCGGTGGGTATGAATGTAGGTGTGAGTGGAGGTAAGTGTTTAGAGAAGAGTCACATCCGTACCCATGCTACCATACTCCACATCCGCCACACCTACACTCACATCCTCGATAAAGTATCTATTTTAAAGAAAATGCTGATCGTTACGTTGTGCTTTTACTATGAATGGAATTTGCTACCGAATAGTATATTGATTACCTGACGGATTCTCCTGATATTCTGACTTTCGGCTCTTCTAAGAGTGCCTACATCGAGAAAGTTGCGAAGCCAAGGGAGGGAATGTATGCGGGTATTCCCTTCATACATGTCCACATTCAACCACACCAGAGATGGGCGAGTCAGATGTTTCTAAGGTTCAAGTTAAGTCAAGTCATTAATCACAAAAAAACTATTCAAGTCAAGTCCAGTCAAGTCACAGCACTTTCCAAGTCAATTCAAGTCAAGCCAAGAGCTTAAAAAATTTCTTAAGTCAAGTCAAGTCAAAAAATGACTACATATTCTCATCTGGCTGTCGCTTATCTGAAATACATGAAAGAATTACTGTTTCTTTGTTTCTACTCTTATAGGTACTTCTAGTGTAGACAAGAATTAGACGAATAAATTGCTAAAATACGTCTATTTTTTTACTTGGCTTGTGACTTGGCCTTTGAAGGTCAAGTCACAAATCAAGTCGAGTCAAGTGAAGAATTCAAAAGAAAAACTCTCAAGTCAAAAAATGACTTGACTTGCCCATCTCTGAACTACACCACACACAAACACACATTCGACACCAACAGTCACACCCACACACTATAATAATTTATTGTATGTTTGACTATTTTATTTTCATTGGTACTTGGAGTTCTCGATACTGTTATTGTGTTGCGCACTATTTTTCACGGTTGCGTGTGCCAATTAGTTGATCATCAGCCGTTGTATTTCAGATTGAATTTTTGTACTCGGTGGTTACCATTATCGACGACATACAGATTACCGTATCGATCGAATGATAAACCGACGGGTCCATGGAGTTGATTTGATCGTTTTCCTATCCCATTTCCACCAATAATAACATTTCCCTGTGTGGCTCCTTCGGACCATCGCATGATTCGGGCATTCCCTGCATCAGCTACGTAGACAGTGCCCAATTGATCAACAACCACTCCTCGAGGACATGCCAGTTGTTTGAGACTATTTCCTCGTCCATGACCACCAGCCACGACAGTGCCTTGTTTTGCACCTTCTTTCCATTTCATCACACGATCATTTTGCCATTCAGAAACGTACACTGAATGATGTTGATCGACAAATACATATTCTGTGGAAGAGAGTTGATCAAGACGATCTCCACTTCCATTGTCACCTGCTACTACTATTTCTTGAAAATCTGCTCTTCGATATCGTCTTACTTTATTATCTCCTGCGGCAGTGACATACAGAGAGCCATTCTCATCCATCGTCAAACTCCGACAATGGACATTGGAAATGATCGTTTCTCCACTTGTACCATTTCGGCGAGGCCATCGAACGACTCTTTGATTCGAACCATCACAGATTATGAGACTATCAGTGCCGTTGTCAACAATCACATCGAATGGATCAGACAACTGATGAATTCCTCTTCCTCGTTTATTTCCACCGGCAACTACTTGACCACTTGTCTCACCCTGTCTCCACTTCATAATACGATGGTTGCACGTATCAGTGACATAGACAGTTTGATCATCATCGACATACAAACCCCATGGGTAACAGAGTTGATTGTTCCCATTACCTTCTCCGTTTCCCCCAGCCACAGTGATACCATTTTGTTTCCATCGAGCATTTGGGTGAATATTTACGGGAGTAGAGCGTAACGGAATCACTGAAATTAAGAGATATAGATAAATGGAATTAGGCAGAGTTGAATTCGAAGGAGAGCCCTTGAACAATTCAGGTTTTTCTTCGAGGAAGAGGTGCTGGTACATAGTGCAAACACTCTAATAGGAATATGCATCGTCATTTAGTGACAGATTGAGAAATAGCTTTCATAGCAGGCTAGTGTTCTCTTTAGTTTTTTGAGACATTCCATTCGGAAAGAGGAACATGTGCATCTTACCAAGCGTTTTTGTGTCTCTCACGTGAAGGAAATTTCCTTGATATTCCACACGGGGTTTTCCGTTCTTCGGACTTCGGTGTGCGACATGTTCCTCAGACTTCTGCAACCATTGCTCATCTCCTTTTTTTGTCTTCCCTATTAGGTTAGTCGGTTGTCTAGGTACGCATGCGTTACGGACCTACATAAGGAAAGGCACGATCCTTCTAATAATACGTAGTAATTTCCAACTATTTTCTGCAAATCTTTTCTTCTTCTTGTTTTGTTGTAATTTTTTTTACAATCCTACTCACTCCATAAACAATAAGGGTTATAAAAACTTTCGTATGTTGAAACTCTGGAAGTTTAAAGAATTTTACATAATGCAATCGATATAATTCTTTTTTAGAGAGTTGCAAGACAAAGAAAAAAAGAAATTTTCTTTGGAGAAACTAAAAAGAGCATTGTTATAGTGATCATAAGACCTAACTATGATTCATAAGGTACGATTCCCTTTTCTGTTCTTCCGTCTGATCCACGTCGTGGCGATGAATAACAAAGATTTTGATTTTTCTTTTGTTAGAAAGTTATAGAACAGGAAATTCAAGAAGTTTATGAAATAATATAAAAAGTTAGTTTCTGACGAATATCTTGCATAAAAAATCTATCCATTCGGTGAATCAATTAAATCTAATTATTTTAAAATGGCTGGCACTTATAATACTGAGGAGCAGAGAATTATTGACAGAATTAAATGTATCGCCTTTCGTAAAGCTCGAGATGATGGTGCAACATCTATTAATTGACAATGGTCATTGGAGAAAATTCATCGCTCAGTTCGATTTGTTAAAGACTAGGGAGAAAAACAATATGACCAATGTTTTGCTAACTATTCAAATGCTGGCCCTAAACTTAAATTATCACAAGCAAGTCAAGACATCGTCCTTAAAGCGAGTGGTCAACAAAGAAAAAGTTGTTCTGTTGTGGCGAAGAAAATTGCAGAAAAGTAAAAAGAGTACGTCGTTTCAAGAACAATCAACAACTATCGTCATCAAGAAGTTCTATAACCGTTTCATGTTATTCCAAAATCGTTAAAAACGGAAACTCATATATCGGATCGATTATGGATGTGCGATTGGTTCAAAGATTGGACCAAAGAAGATTTTATTCATCTCGCACCATCTGATGGTTTTTTGTCTGGACTGTTCATCAACCAAATTATCAGAATGATCGAATTTGGGCAACAAGTATCGATGATATTGAAGAAGATCAACGTTATCGTAAAATGGTTAAAAATCAAGCATGCATTTGAACTTTCTTTATATTTACTACTAAGAAGTTACATTGGGTAATCAAAGATAGAGGTGAATCTTGGACTGGTCAATGTTTTCGTGATACGATATTAACGGAAAACGTATTTCCATTCTTAAAAAATGAAGAAAATGTTATCAATTTCAATGAAGTTATATTTGTCCATGATAAAGTACCATGTATGCGAGCAAGTCAAACCCAATATTTACTTCGAGACAAAGACATCAAGTTTTGGGGTAATGATATTTGAATAATCAAGGATGAAGTTGAGAAAAAAAATGTTAGCAGAAACTGAACATTACTTTTATCTTAAAGAAACACTCAAGATGCACATTTCTGATGTTCTGACAAATATGGAAAATGACACTGATTTGTTTGAAACTCTTATATGTTCGTATCCGTCTTGACTGCCTGCAGTAAAGAACGTTAATGGTCATCATACTGATTACCAATTGTGCTCATCAAACAATAGAAAATTAAAGGATTTTGTATCAAATTTAGTTTCAACATTATCTCAACAGTAACTTCTCTCACACTTATAATCAGTGAAATTTCCTAAATTTAGTCATTTTGGCATATGAAAACTTTCATAACCCTTATTGTTTAGAATCAATAAACCCTATTTTGACGGGCTTTCATTTGGTATAAAATTCATTATCCTCTCTATTTAAAATTATAGCGGTACTCCCCTGGCAAAATATTATTTCCAAACGACTATTTCTTTACTGTTCTTTGGCATACTTGTATGTCTCCTGTATAAGTTTGTACATTACTTGACTCATCCAGTTTATCACTCCATCATCACAACAATTCCTTCACTCGTATTTATCGTTATACTCACGAAATTTTACACCAAATTATGATATTAACTTTTACCTAGCTTTGCAATTGATGTCGACGAACCCTACCCACAAATACATATATATATATATATAATATATGTATGGCAGAATAATCAACTTACGACGAACGGGTGCTCAAGAAGAACATGTGGTGGAGTAACTTCTCGTATTTGAATAATGTGGAGACCGTTACCAGCATTGACTTTGCCCACAACTTCAAAATAAAATCCTGGCAAAAGTAAAATTTCATCTTCTTTCTGGAAATATGAATATGGCTTAATAGCCTTTCCGTTCATACATTCAATGCTGAAGAGAGTTCTTGTGCCCGTTTTCCCCAAATACATAGGCTGCTCTAATACTTCCAAAGATAGAGTACAGGAAGAAAATGCCCACCATATATAGCGTTGACCACGGTGATATTTCGAGTGTAGACTAGACTTGACACCACGCCATAACACTTTGACTGAGCACGGTGATATTTTGAAGAGGGCCGTAATAAATAGTTTAAGATAAAGAAACCATGGCTGAAGTTTTCGACGATCTCGGTCACGAAGCATTTCATTCAGAATCAAGTACAAGCTACGAGTTCTTGTTTCCATCGTATAGAGATGAATAGCGGCTGCTTCGTCAGGTGTAAGCCCATTGACAGGATTCTTTAATGCATTCTTAGCGATCCAAGCGTCGCGAGGTAAATTACGAAAGAGCGATTTGATTGGTTCAATAGCTTCTTCTAGTGAAACAAGATCCGATTCTTGATAGCCATCAAGTGGTTGTAGATAAGCCTCGGGTTCGTCGCAAGTATCCTCAATCAAACGAGGATTCCATTCGTGACCACCTGCTGATGCAGACATGATCGAAACAATGATAACTATACTAAAAACAGTGAGAATAAGTGGCTTAAGACAAGTGCCAGTGATATCATGACATAAGAATCCTTAGGCATAGAAATATTGAAAAAAAAGAAATCTTAAGTTTAATGACATCATTTCTCGTTATATCTCTATGAAAATAATATCGATCTCTTATACACGTGAATGACGCTAACGAAATGGGAGTAGTTCCAGTCTCAGCTCATGTCTATGGATACACTGTAAAAAGCCAAGATTTATGAGTTTGAAACGTATAATAAATCCTTTTATCCATTTTTGAGCTACCAAATATTCCCATTTTCCAGATAATAAATGGAAAAATCGTTTATTATGTGTCGAATACAGCTCTAAAGGGTTATATTCCGTTGCCAATTCAAAAATCTTTTCTCTGTTTATTATGTGATGAAAAACGCTTTCCTTCTTTATTATTATCGGGATATTTTTTTGACAGCGCTTGTGTATAGACCTTGCTACCTGGTGTCTTTATTGTCATTTTTATGACCTTCGGGTGTGGGTGTTGGCGTGCGGTTATGAGTATTCTCATGCAGATCCACACCCACATCCACATCCATACACTAGGACTGCAAATTTCCGGAAGTACTTATCTCACTCTCCTCTACCACATATAAAAAACCAGACAATTCTGAGATATTTCACCATTGTCGGTGTCTTTAAGTGACTGGTTTTCTCAAACATTCACTCTTATGTTTCTATATACTTGTAATGTCAGTTTTGGTTCAAAACTGACATTAACTAAAATCTAAATTTTAAGAGATTTAAATTTAAAATAAATTGACAAGATACTAATACTCCCAGTAGTAACTAACAAATACTAAAAGAATACGATCGATGATGTGGCACACACTAGCAAAGAAATTCTTGGAACCCTTCGAATACCGTGCGAAAAAAGTTTCGTGGAATAGCATGCAAGGACGTTTTTGTCCATATAAATTAAATCATAAAGAATTCAGCCCGAATCAACTTTATTATTTATATTTTAATCAATCTGACATATTAGGATCCTCGTCACACCTATCACACACAAGATTTACGCAACTATGCACTTTACACACATATATTCCGCATTTATAGCATTTGGGACCAATTCTACTAGCTTTTTTGTTGACTTACATAATCCATAGCTTCATCATAACAAATCCGACGTCGACCACGATTCATTACCATTCATTGGGTTGTTGTTGCTACTGCTCTAATTGTTGTTATTAACGATGATGATGAAAATGAATCTGATGATGATGTCTTTTTGCGCAGAATGCTGTATATTCCCAAAACAATACCCTTATGTAAACTTGATGTGTTTCTTTGTGAAACATAAGGTTTCACCAAGAAAAGGGCTAGTTCTCTAAGAAAAAGACTTCTCCTGGTTGGATTCTTTTTCTTCCAAACAGAAAAACATTCAAGAAAGAGTATGAAGGCGTTAACACTGATTATATCAAGCAAAGTGTAAAAAATAGATATTAGCCATCTGAAAGAATCTCTTTTTGTTGTATACTATCGTGCAAGTTGATCAATTGTATCAACACCACCTTTAGTATCATTATAGAAAATATTGATTTCGGAGTTTTTCTTTTCTCCTTCAAAATCACCAATTATTTGATGTTGATTGGATATAAAAATACGAATTTCTTTTGGTTTGTGACAGTACGAGAGGAGTGTGACTGGTGCTGTTGTTTGTGTTACTTTTGAAAAGAGAAACATAGATGAATCAAGTTCTCTTTTTTAACCAATTTTAATAATTTCCGGTATATGCTTTCTGTTGGTTCGGATAGTGCCACCTACAATCAATTGAAATTCATGCCACAGTTCGTCTGGAAGTTCTACAGATGAATAGAAGCGATTCATGGTGATATCCCGTGAAGTGCCTTTGATTATTTGCGCTAGTCGGTGGACGATGGCCTTTGGTTTATTTGAAACTTCATTTGATTAAGCCGCATAAGGTTCCATATCTGATACATAACTCTTATGCGAATCTGTAAGCATCCTGATTAGTATTCCTTATTTACCAGGCTTCTCCTTCATGAATACTATGAAAGGACAACGACCACGATATAAAGAGAGCATTTTATCAATAGTTGTACACTGGTATGCCTTGAAATTTGATGAAAATGTGGATGTTACCATTTGAAATACATCTCGCATTGGTGCGAATTTGTCCTTTTTTTCGTTCTGCTCTTGTAGCGGCACCATCCATTCTTAGATGTTTCAATATCTCAAAAAATTGATTTCTGGCTATGGCTCCTTTGTAACTAGTCTTCTATTCCTTTCCGACCACAGATCTGGCACAAATAAACCATTATCTTGATTTGTACCCATCATATATAAAATCCCAATAAATGCTAAAAATTCGCGTTCATCAATAAATTTATCATTTAGTCCGATATGCTTGTTTGTATGTTCAATTATTGTTGTCAATACGTCATCAGTAAAAAGTTTTTTAAATGAATCTTCTATATTTTTCACTTTAACAAAATGTGTAACACCAAATGTATCTCTTATGATGTTTTGTCTATACATCTTTTGATTTCTTGAGGGTCTTTTGTAGTAAATTCTTCCAATCTCAGCCGTTACTTGATCCTCTTCACCATCCTCTTCATCTTCATCTTCGTCTTCATCATCATCATCTTCTTCACTGCTACCATTTTCAATATCTTCAACGAAATCTTCTGCTTCGGTAGAGTATTCTTCTTCTGGCGGAATGTTTATAATGTCATAATATTCGGTCATTTTATAAATTTTATTTACAATGTGAATATTAAAATATTTTCGAACTAATAACGCAAGAATCGAATTAATTGGTTGCAAGTAAAATGATCGCTTTTTTTAAAAACGTACATTATATATTGGTAAACAAGCTCAGAAAGTTTCGAAAGGACTTGGAAATAATCATGAACACATGAGAAAAATCATAGAACATAATAATAAGAAGAAAGCAGTTGGAATATATCGAAGGTGAAAGAAAAGAAAGAACATATCTACATGTATGATGTCGTAGACATCTATACGATATAATAGATGAAAAGACAGAAAGAAAAGATATATAGGTGAATCATACTATAACATGAATTTTTTTCATGTAGAAGAGAACGTTTTTTTCAAGAAAAAATGAAGCATTGATGAAAAGGATGTATTTGGCAGATGAAAGAGCTTAAAAATTTTACACTCTAAAAAGTTTATATCGATTAGTTGAATTTTTCGCCAAAAAATAGTAATTTTTTACTCATATGGACAAAAATGTGCATGCATAGTATTCGAAGGATTAAACTATGTCAATCCAAACCGTTAATCTCGACATGTCAATTTCAGTCATTTACAATATTACTAATATCTTGGAAGTAGCAGTATAACTTTCTGCATAATTTCGTTTCGATTTGCAAGCTTTGTAAAAATTGACTCACTACGCTTCTCAATGTCGTCAATAACACACTGTTGTTAATATTGAATTTTTCTACAAGCGACATTGCTTACTTGCTTATTTCGAATACCGTGTTGTTTCAACTTCACAGCATGTCAACACAGTTTCTTTAGTTGACGTTTCTTTTGCCTCTTTCTTTTCATTTTTATATTTCTTTCACTTACATGTTATAAGTGGAGAACGACTGCACATAACAACAAGTTACTATGCAAAAGATGCATTGATGCAGAGTGACAATGAAGAACAATTAAAATATGCTTTGAATTGAATTCATTTCAGTTCTGTTCGACATGACTAAGATTATGCAAAAAGGAAACATTCAAAAATATATGCCGTTTGCCTGGCCGCTCTGCCGCAGAGATGTCCATCGTGGCGCTGCCGCTGCCGCGGTGGCGGTGGCGGCGCGGCAGCGGCAGGTTTTTAAAAAAAATCACCGCGGCAGCGGCGCGGTAGCGGCAGATTTTTTTAAAAGTCATCGCGGCAGCGGCGCGGTAGCGGCAGGTTTTTTAAAAAACCATCGCGGCAGCGGCAGGACTTTTTTGGAGGACATTGAAAAACTGTATGAATTTAATAGAATTTCACGATTTACAAATGAAACGCCCGGATATTGAATAAATATGATGGACTAGTACCCATATCTCTGGTCAAATATAGTCACAGCAGTGAAATTAGAAACACTTTTTTGAAAATCGTCGCGGCAGCGGCGCGGTGGCGGCACGTTTATTTTATAATTCATCGCGGCAGCGGCGCGGCAGCGTTTCTTTTATAAGTCATCGCGGTGCGGCAGCGTCGCGGCAACATTTTTTTATAAACCGCCGCGGCGCGGCAGCGGTGCGGCAGCTTTTTTTTTCTAAGGCCGCGGCGCGGCAGCGGCAGATTTTCAGCCGCGATGGACATCTCTGCTCTGCCGCTATGTCGTTCTACCATTCTCACGCCGCTCTGCCTCCACACCCACTATTTTATTTTACTTACATTGCAATGTGTTTTTTTTTCTTTTAATGTGTGCATTCATATATATGAAATATATTTTCTGTATTTCTATTCAGTATTCTTTACTCTTAGACTATTGATTTTCTCCAGAAAGAATGAACTTTTAATCAGTGATAAGAATTTCGTCCAATAAATGATAAGATAACAGTGCCTTTTTATAACATTGCTGAAAATATTTTTGAATGGGGGTGAGGGATGACTGTGCGTGTGAGTGTGGCTGCGTGAGATGGAGTGTAACTAAAACGATTGAAGATATTCATATCCACACTCATACTCACATTTCAGCCCAACTACACACTGTAAAAAAATTCATAGAGCAATAAAATCAAAAAGGGTTGATGAAAGTGCAACGTATAATAAACCCTTTTTATCGTATGTAAAATTTTTCTGAATCATTTTTAAAAGTTTAATAATGGGTTTAGGAAATTCTTAAACTCTTTCATATACCCTTTCAAAGGGTTTAGGATATTGTTTAGGAACTCAGGAAATAAAAAAATGAAAAAAATTCATTTGAATGACTTTTTTACAAACTTTTCGTCAAAAGAATTCCGTTACATCAATTATTTCACGAAAATTGAACTCATCTGGGTAGATTCATTATTTTGATATCATTTTCATTGTATTAAATTGTTTACGCTGAAAAAAAAAGAAATTCTATTATTAATTTCAATTTTTCTACATGATTTGCATAAGATAATATTAATGTTTCTGAAAAATCATAATAATAACAGTATTTTCATTGTTTTTGCATCATTTTCATTCCATTAAGTAGATTATTGCAAAAAAACTAAAATCATTGCACGGACGTGGGTGTGGGATATGGTTGTGAGTGTGGATGGGGTGTGGGTGTGAGGGTGTTGGTGAATGTGGGATGTGGGTGTTCAGAAGTTAAAACGTGCATATAAAGGGTGTGGGTG